GGGGGGGTGTCGTCATGTTTTGACCAACATTTCCTAGGATTTTGATCAAGTAAAAAATTTTCCTGCAAATGTTGTTGACGGTGGTGGGGTGGGGGAGGTGAGGTCAAAAAACTTTTCCGGACTAACATAAGCATAGTCAAAAAAAATTTTCCGGACTAACATAAGCAAATTCAAAATTTTTCGACCAAGATGGGCAAGGCTTCCAATTTTTTCACCGCAAACATCATAAAAGCTTTAAAATTGTTAAAATTTCGAACCATTCCATAACTTTGGGCAACTTCGACTATCTTTTATTCCAAACTTTTACCAAATTGTTCCCAGTTTTACGTTCAATTTTAAGCAAATATCAGTTCCATTTTGACCAACTTTGACCGACGTTTTAATTATTGGGGGTGTTACAACCCCCCCCCCCCCATAGCGACGTCCCTGGCTGGGAACAAACAGTGCGAACACATCCTGTTGACAAGTTGTTCAGTGGAACAGCATTGTTACAAGTCTGTTGCACGTTTGTTACAACTTGTGCGTTTTTACATGTGTAGTAACATATGGGATGAACTTAAATAATTGTTGATAAATGTGGTCACCTGTTTGACAAGACACATTACTGATTACTTAATTGCTTTTTCTTTTGTTATGTCTGCTTAATTAATTATGCGCATGTGCCAAAGTGCAGGTGGAATGTGATTTTTTTGACCGGCAATTTTTAATCGGCTCGTATTTGGTCAATTGTGCTTGGAATGATACAAGAAAGGTGTTATTCAAAAGCTAAAACACTAGATTTTGTTAATATGGAAAAATTAAATATGTGCACATAATATTGAGGGCACAAGAGCACACTAAATTTGGTTACCTTTATTTCATACACCCTACATAATAAATTTGACGCTATTTTCAGCGTTACCACAAAACCAACGGCACCTGTGTCGCTAAGGGCGATATACAATCTAAACGAAAAACAATTGCGCTATTGATGCGTCTAGAATTTCTACAAAACAGTACACATTTCGGTCGGAACAACATGGAATTTCTAAAGAACAAATTTAAAATGAATTTAACTTTACTATTGTTCGCGTTATGTATCTGTATCACAGAGGTCAAGCTAAGTTTAACCCTCGAAAGTGCACGGGGTAAAATGAAACTGAAGAATTTTTATCATCTGCACGGACATCGTTTAAAAGTCTCGCCACAAGCAACTTTGGAAGTCGCAAAAGATGTGAAATGTACTGTAAGTTGTATGAGAAATGAAGATTGCTTTTCATTCAATGTCAAGAAAATAAGTTCAAACTTGTTTTTATGTGAGTTACTGAATACGAGTAAGTTTCTAGACTCGGATAATTTGACGAGGGATGAAAATTTTGCTCACTGGTATTTGCAGGTAGGCGGCTAAACAAGCTATATCAATGCTAAATTGTAAACTAAATTTATTTATAGTGGATATCTTAGTCAGTTTTAATTAATTAATTAGTATAGGTAATCATGCGATGGCGAGTACAATTAAGGATTAATAGTACAAGTGATGTTTGGAAATTTTGCCAAAATTGGACGAGCCACCGGGGTGAGTCCAATTTGGCAAATTTCCAAACATCACGAGTACTATTAATCCGTAATTGTACGAGCAACATCGCATGATTACTTGTTTATTATTAGCATGACAAAATGGGATACGTACTTCTCAATGTCAACATCGTATTCTTTCGCCAAAGCCCATCAGTCCTGCCAGACTTTCAACCAAAATTTAGTGCTTTTGTTTGTATTTTCATTTAGTTCTTTTGTTCAAGCAAAACTTGGTGGTTTTGTTCGTATTTTCATGTAGTTCCTCCACGGCAATTTCATTTAGCAATTGTGTTTAAAATACCTTGCCGCCATTTTGTTTGTTTTGAGAAAATCATTAATTGTACTGCAGTACAATTAATGAAATAATTGTACTCCTCTCAACCAATCAGCATCCAGTAATTTTGTCATGCTAATAATAAATTCATTAATTAAATTAAACTGTTCTTCTTAGAGGTCCAGTGACGTTCCAGTGACGTTCCAGTGCAGAGGGACATCCTTTATTGGTTCAGCAGTGGCGTGCTGGGTACTACTTTTCTGGAGGGGCCAGTGGGCTGTTAACCAATATGCGCCCCTATAATGTTACACTTGATAAACGAGGGCCGAAGGCACGAGCCGAGTGCCGCAGGTGCGAGGTTTGTCTAGGGGGGTCCGGGGGCATGCAATTTTTGAATTTAGAGTCTCTGAAATGCCATTTCCTGGACTTTGGGGGAAGATTTGACAGAAATCTGATGGTCAGGAAACGGCATTATAACGTGTCGAAATTTGCAATTTGGCTAGAATTTAGTAGTAGTACTAAATTATGCAATGCTAACTACTTCCAGTGATTAATCTAATCCCAATTCTGTTCTCTACTGATCTACTGTTCCGGAGCACATTTACAACTTACAGCTCTTTTATACAATAACACACGCATCCCACGCATATGCATTTTAAGGTTTCCTTGTCTGGCTGCCAAAAGGACCAAAAGGGCATGTTTCAGCATTATTTCATTACTTACATTACTCATGCTTCTTGTGCAAACAACTAAATTGCGTACACAACTTTACATCAGTTATCATAACTTCAACTATCTAATTTGCGCCGCTCTCGTGATTCGTGAAGCATAATAAAGGGCATAATATAAGGGCATAATACCAGCAAAAAAGGGCATAATTCCCGTGATCGCTTCGATCGAAACCTGACCAATATTCCGGTAATGAGACATTGCCTGTGATCACTGATCATGTTTCTATATGAACGATTTCGTGTGAGCTGTGAGGTAGCAAATACGGTTAGGCAAAATAGTCTGTAATTTAATATATGTCGCCTATGCGCTTAGTCTGTTTTATACTGTAGCCTATAAACACGTCTTTTCTTGGCGAAGTAACCATGTTTTTTCGAGAATGCGTTTTTTTCCCACCCACTTTCAAAATTCGGCGCCCCATTTTCATTTTTGCGCCCCCCAAGAATTGCCAGCTGGGGGGGCCGTGGCCCCAGCACGCCACTGTGGTTCAGTATACTACAATACAGGAGCTAAACTAAACTATAACTTTATTTATATTGGATAGTTCTATAAGTTCCAAACTGTTCCGGGGCAGTAAGGGTCATCCCAGCATGAGCTCCACCTTTGAATTTACTATATGAGTAAATTCTTAAACACGTCCGAATTTATCATGATAAATTCGCGGCAAATTTTGAATTTATCATAATAATAAATTCGCGGCACCTAACACTAACCCTAACCCCAACCCTAACCACTAACCCCTAACCCTAACTTTTTAAATATTTTTTACTTTTTTAAAAATCTAACTTTTTAAACTTTTCTTGCTTTTCAAAACTCTTTTAAAACTTTTTTAAAAAGTATATTTTAAAGAACCTGAAAAACTCCCCACCCCCGCGCGGCCAGCCTCCGTTTTAGTGCCATTACATTTATAACAAGAAATCTTGTCTAATGCTTATGGTTTTATGATTAACTCTATTGATAAATTCAAAATGTGCCGCGAATTTATCATAATGATAAATTCGGACGTGTTTAAGAATTTACTCATATGGTAAATTCACAGGTGGAGCTCATGTTGGTCATCCCGTATTGATCAAATGTCACTGAGGGAACTTATACATGACCTTTTCAAGTATATTATACCCAACCTCTCGACCTACAGTATAGCATGCAGGTTTGACTAAAAATTCGAGGCAGAGCGCTGTTATATACACAGCCAGATCTGTTAACCGATTTGATACAATCTTACCATGCAGGAACCCTGCAATCCCTTGCTTTGTGGTGACGAGAGTCAGGGGAAATGCGTGATAGATTCTGATGGAACGGCTGTGTCGTGCAATTGTTCTGAAAAGTATGAAGCAAAAAGATGTGAAATCCGTATCTATGGTAAGTCTGTCTGTCGTACATATTTATATAAAAAATGTAACCACATTCACCTTTTTCAAATATTTTGAAAATTACAAAGAACAATGAAAATTATGTGTGCAACAAAAAAGTGTGTATCACTGGAAAAAAAATTGAAAATCCATAGAGAAGCCATATAATGGAAATTGTATGAACCTTTATTGGAAATAGAATGGATTTTGGTTATCCATAATAGTTGTATATTCCCATAGTATGGATATAGTATCGAAATAGTATGGATATACTATGGATTTAGTGGTGCAATGGACCATTCCCCAATTAACCAAAATTTTGAACTCAAACCAGTCTAGACAAAAATTTCATCACAGCTTGAAAGAGCATCACAAAATTAGTAATATTCCAAAGTTTCGTTGCAAAATGTTGTAAAATGCGGATAATATAGCCTTGCGAAGTTTGCAATTTTCAGCCATATTTAGATTACAAACGGGAAATGGTTACCACTTCTGTGCGTAATACAAAATGACTGAAAATTACAAACTTCGCAAGGCTATATTATCCGCATTTTACAACATTTTGCAACGAAACTTTGGAATATTACTAATTTTGTGATGCTCTTTCAAGCTGTGTTGAAATTTTGTTTAGGCTAGTTAAGATCAAAATTTTGGAAAAGTGGTAACCATTTCGCGTTTGTAATCTAAAATGACTGAAAATTGCAAATTTCGCAAGACTATATTTTCCGCGTTTTACAACATTTCGCAACAAAACTTTGGAATATTACTAATTTTGTGATGCTCTTTCATGCTATGATGGAATTTTGTCTAGACTTGTTGAGATCAAAATTTTGGTTAATTGGGGAATGGTCCATTCCCACCGGGCACACGACGTTGTTTCAACGTTGAAATTTGGTAGAAAAATTGCATTTTCGTATAATGAAGTAATCGTCCAATTAGCCATTCCAAAGTTGATGAGAGGACTGGGGACGAATGTTAAAAAGTGCCCAAATTAAGAAATGAACCAAATCACTAAAACGACCACCTCAAAATTAGTAAGTATAGGAAGTTTGAAGACATTTACACGAGTACCCTTCGAATAATAAGCTTTCGAAAATCGCGATATTTACTATGAAATGTACTGTAATTTTTGTTTTTTGGGACGCGTGTCCCAAAAGCAATCTTTTAATCAGTAATTTCACAATTTCCGAAAGCTTATTATTCGAATGGTATTCATGGAAATATCTTCAAACTTCCTATACTTACTAATTTTGAGATGGTCTTTTTAGTGATTTTGTTCATTTCTTAATTTGGGCACTTTTTAACACTCGTCCCCAGTCCACTCATCAACTTCGGAATGGCTAATAGGGATAGCTGAGATGAAACGTGCAACCACGTTGGATAATATTTAATGAAGTTTTATTCAACAAAGGATTTGTGCACGGTGAGGCATAGTTCAACATCAAACAAAGGTCTTTTATTTTGTAGCTTTGAAGTTTGCCGAACTTCCATATCTCGACAGACTGTTCAAACTTTTTAATTTTTGATATGTTTTCAATCGGCAAACAAACTTACATGTTTGGTGCTTTATCTGTAAAATCATGCTAAAATGAAGAGATTTTAGATAGCACGCCAAGAAGAAAATAAGTCTGAAGTTCAGTATATGTGGCGTCAATTTCAAAGCATCGATCATGGATAATCTTTGGTCCCGGAGTATAGGCTTTAAATTCTGTTAATAATATCGCGTATATTTGCGATGAAAAATGTTCAAAAATACCGAAACTCTTTTTAGCGTTCCTACCAAAATTACTTTGTTTTAGCTTTATTTTGTAGTTTAAACAGTTAGCAGCCTTCTTAAATGTATCTGGCGGTTGGGAAACACAAAATATTAGTTAAATATTGTCAACTTAAATACAATTATCATTGATGCTTTAAAATTGACGCCATGTATATTTACACGTAACAGCAATATAAGCAAAACTTACTAAACTTCAGACATCATTTTCTCTTTGGCGTACCATCTAAAATTTCTTCATTTTAGTATAAGTGGAAAAGTATATTCGTTAGTTTTGAGCGCGTGTTACGTAACATACAAAAGATTCTGTTCTTGATAAGCATTGTGTTTCTATTCAGATGCAAAGCGAAACTACGCGCTAAATAAACCTACAACAGCATCAGTTAGAGACTACATAAGTCAGCGTGCGGTAGATGGAAACAGTAACTCGAACTGGTATGGAAACTCATGTTACGAAACATTGTATGAACCGGTTCCACATTGGTGGAGGGTTAATTTTGAAGAAGAAATCCAAGTTGCCCGAGTGGTCATCACTAATAGAGGTGAGGTCAGAGTACACACGTAAAAATCTTAAAACTTGTCAACAAGATGTGTTCGCAACAGGCTTGTCAACAAGTTGTAACAATCAATATTGTTATTTTGTCAAGTTGCTACAAGGTTGTCACTCACAACTTGACAACAAGTTGCTAAATTGCAGGACGATAACAAAGTTGTTGGAACAACTTGTGACAAGTCTTTTGAATAAACAACCTATAATCGTATTCTTGAGTTAATGGATGAAAAATGTGTTGGTTGTTTAATTACTGCACGAAATTTCAGACAATTTGCTTCAGTTTAAACCCTTCAACTATTGACGCAAATTTATATTTTTCCTAAAAAATCAGCAATTTGCATGCTTAATTAATGCATTTGCCCAATTTGCATATGTCAGCAATATGCAAATTAGGTAAAGGCATAATTAAGCGTGTAAAGGTTGATTTTTTAGGACAAAAAGGATAGTAAAAGGGCTTAAACTAGAGCAGATTGTCTGAAATTTTGTACAGTAATTAAAAACCCAACAAATTCACCATCCATTAAATCAAAATGCGATTAAAGCTTTTAAATTTCGTGCGCAAGCCATTTCTAGTATGTTGAAAAAGACACGTGACCCCGCTGGTTCACAAAATTTAAGTTCGAGATTTTTTTCTTCATTATTCTACCTTATATAAAGTACCCAAAGAAGCTATATACATCAAAAACTAAATACTAATGGCTGTTTTGCGAAATTGAGAGCAATTTCAAATCTGTTCAGTTTTTTTTATACACCCTGTGTAGGCGCTCTGGCAAGAATGGCCCCTGCGGTCTTGCGATCGATTCCGGTGCAGCGCTCTAACCAACTGAGCTACAGAAGCCACTCGACTCGTTAAACACTGGTTAGAGGCTTAGAGTGCTGCACCGGAATCGCAGGTCCGCAAGTTCGATCCCAGGGCCTACAGTTACATTTTTCGCAACTGCTTCTGGGATAATCATCAAATATCGTGCTCGTTGTTCGAAAGGCGATTAGCCTAACCCTATAGGTTAACCTAAATTCAAAGCAAATTTCCCAACAGCTTGTCTATAAATTTGGAAATATTTCTTCAGAAATATTGTCTGGATCAGTAGGAGTTTTTTTCTCTGAAATTTTAAAATAAAATGCAGACGTGCACATATACATGCATAAACTAAAACAGCAGATTAAATTTTCACCAAGGGTGGTGCTAACTCGATTTTGAACAACCGGGCCCAGGACATGACCTCCTCGCAGAAGTAATTCACAGTAAGATTTAATACTATAAAAATTATTATTTTCATCATCAGGTGATTGTTGTGGAGACAGATTGAGTAATTTCGGAATAAAAATTGGCAACAGTTTGAAAGAGAATGGTGTCACAAACCCTGCATGCGGGGAAACCCATCTTGCTGTACCTCAAGGACAGACCAAGACATTCGCATGCTCACCACCGATGAAAGGACAATACCTCGTGATACATTCATTCCTTACAGATCGACCAATGGTATTTTGTGAGGTTCAAGCCTATGCTTATCCATAATATGTTCATGTAATAAATATTCAGGTGTCAGACCGAGAACAAAGCTAGGAAACATTGCTGTCGTTGTGGGCACATTGTTTCGATCCTAGCCGTGTTTTCCGAAGGTGGACAAACCAGGAATCATTGCAGTCGTATTTCTCCAAAATGGCGAAACCTGCAGGAAACATTGTTTCCAAGTCATGTTTCCCACAGCTAGACACTGAACACAGAAACATTGTTTCCTACCCATGTTTCCCAAAGGTTGACAAACCAGGAAACATTGTTTCGTATAGCCATGTTTCTCAAAGGTGGATAAACCACGAAATAGTGTTTCCTATAGCCATGTTTCCCGAAGGTGGACAAACCAGGAAACATTGTTTCCTAGCCATGTTTCCCAAAGGTTGACAAACCAGGAAACATTGTTTCCTATAGCCATGTTTGTTAAAGGTGGACAAACCAGGAAATAGTACTCCTAACCATGTTTCACAAAAATGGACAAACCAAGAAACATTGTTTCTTAGTAGCCTGCATGTTTCCATGCACATATTCAATATTTGCAAAAATTATTATTAAATTCCGTATTATATATTACACATGACACGCTACATGGTCAGCGAATTAGTCTACTATAGATTCAATTCAACATAGTATAAGCCCTAAAAGATTCTTAGATTATATTATTCACATTCATTAAACTCTGTAATATATATTAACGTTTACTATACAGACTTTAATTAAATATTGATTATACTATTTATTATTCTGGTCTTTACATGTGAAATTACGAAAAGACAAAGGAAATCGCTGGCGGCCGCGTCGGTAGTTTTATACGTGATAAAAAATCAGGTTAATTCAAATAAACTTTAGCTTTGATTTTATCGAATTAGACAACGGTTGTTTTTAAAATTACTTTGCCAATGTGCTCATAAGATGATTCAATTGTGTTTACGCACCATGGATGTTATAGGAATCAGGCAATCAAATTATAACGTACAATCAGTGATGTAAAAGTTACTCATTTTTTGGAACTAGTTACAGTTACAGTTACGTTCCCAAAAAAGGAACTAGTTACTGGTAAAAGTTACACTTAAAAAAATGTAACTAGTTCCCGTTACAAAATTACTTCAACATTTTTGTAACTAGTTACAAGTTACTTCAAGTAAGAAAACCCCCGGGTTTTTTCAGCTTAAATGCTTAATGATTAGTGGTCAGCAGATTGACGTTAATTATTCGTAAACGTTATGTAACCTTACCACCAATGGATCTCTCAGCTGTGTTAAGCACTGAAGCATGCGTGAACTGAGAGGTGAATTGTAAGTTTTAACCGCAAGAATGTAACGAAAAAAGTAACGTAAACGTTGGCTATAAAAGTAACGCGTTATCGTTTCATTTTAGGCCAAAATGTAACTCGTTACAGTTACCTTATTTTTAAAGGTAACAAGCTAAAGTTACAGTTACTCAAAAAGTAACGATTACTTGTAATTTCGTTACTTGTAACGAAATTACTTACAGCACTGCGTACAATAAGGTGAATTTCTAAAGATCACTCTTTTTTGAGACACCCTCTATAGATTCCGACCAGTGATGACTGCTCTGGCACGAATATTTCAACCAAATAAGTTTTTATTATCTCTTTGGGATAATGTTAGCTGTTTGGGATCTTTTCGATTGACACCTATAACACGCTATACATACAACCAGGGGCGTAACTCCTGGGGGAGTGTCCGAGTGTGGTGGGGGAAACGCCCCCCCCCCCCCAATGTTGTGATATTGAAATTTTGTCGGGCAATTTTACATAATTTTTTGAAAAGTAGTAATTGTAGGAAAAAGTTTGATACATTTATGAAAATATTAGTGAAAATTGGCCGATAAATAATCACGTGGGTTTGTTCAGATACCATAAAGTTTTGTTTTCGAGATTCTTGTATTTCGGATTTGTGAGGACTGGTGTATCGAGCCACTTCAAAGCCTGTAAAACTGCGTATTTTAATTTTATACGAGCGCATCTAATGCATAGTTAATGTTAGCTTTTAACACAGCTTGATTTTCAAAGGCCAGAAATCGCTAGAATACTGGTGTTTAGTAATACATTTGACATCCGTAAGTACAATTTCTTACGCTGAATCGAACGGTGTCGCTTTCTTTCTTCTTTCGTTTACGATCTACGACGCGGCCGGCTCAACGACGCAGTCTAAATTTTAGCTCAAGAATGAGCGCTAAGCAATTCGATTACTGTAATAAATATTTGACTCTTTCAAATAACCTTACAAAATGCTACGTTCGGCTAATGCGATGCAATGTTTGCTGTAATTTCAACTTTTAGTAACACCTCTTGTGTAGCATTAGGCTTTCGCGTTGCCTGAAAGACGTAATAATGCTTTTTTAACGTTGTGTTGAGAATGACAACGCGGTTGACAATACTGATGGAGTCATGGGACCACAAATTATTGACAGTTTTTGTCTTGCATGACAAATTTCTTTGTAAGTTCTTTGTAGGTTTGCATGGCGATAAAACACATAATACTATTGTTTGTGGAAACACCAAATTTCTTTGTTTTGAAAGCGCGTCGTCGAGCCGGCCGCGTCGTAGATCGTAAACTCCCTAATATATAAAGCAGCGCAGCCAAACGTATAACGTATATATATATATATATAGACAAATATATATATATAAAGTATATATATATATATATATATATATATATATAGACGAATGTCAATAAGTATATTGAGTGTCGAATCATACGAATAGAGTGCTCGATACGTAAGTAGAGCAAATGAAAGACAAACTTGAGTTACTTCGTTTAAAACATTTATTCACGACAAATTTGTTTCGTATGGCAAACTAAGCTTGCCACACTCATCAGGTGAATGATGATATCGCGTATTTAGCCTACATGATGTTTTAACCTATAGGTAAGAAAGCCCCAACAAAAACTACGGACAGAATAATATCTGATGAAAAGAAAATTGCAAAAAGTCTTGGCATCGACAACCGTGCTGACTCACTAGCAACAAAGGACTCATTTATCACCCTGAAAGATCATAAACCAAATTTTTCCAACAACCCTACCTGCAGACTTATAAATCCATCGAAATCTGAGATCGGGATTGTCAGCAAGCAAGTCCTTCAAAGGATCAATTCCGAAATTGTCAAATCTACCAGCATAAACCAATGGAAAAATACTGACGCAGTGATCAAGTGGTTTAACAACATGCCTAATAAATCAACCCGCTCGTTTATCAGCTTCGATATAGTAGATTTCTATCCATCTATATCTGAAGAGCTCCTGAAAGAATCCCTAGCATTCGCCTCACAATACGACGAAATAACCGAAAATGAGAAAGCCATCATCATGAAAGCAAAGCAATCGCTGAAGTACAACTTGGCGAAAGAAAACATCAGCCGACTCTCTTTTTGATGTAACCATGGGTAGCTTCGACGGGGCTGAGACATGCGAGTTAGTGGGATCTTATCTTCTATCACAACTAACGGCAGAGTACGGCAATGATATCGGTCTGTACAGAGATGACGGCCTCGCAGCCTTTGACAAAACACCGCGCGAAATCGAGATCATTAAGAAAAATATTTGCAAAGTTTTCAGTGACAATAACTTGAAAATAACCATCGAAGCCAACAAAAAATGCGTCGACTACCTAGACATTACACTTGATCTCAGATCGTCATCTTACAAGCCATATATGAAACCTGGAAATACACCGCTATATATCAACCACAACAGCAACCACCCGCCACCAATACTACGCAGCATACCAGACGCTATCAACAAGAGGCTATCAAATATATCTTCTGATAAGCAATCCTTCGAGTCGGCTGTGCCCCCATATCAGGAAGCCCTGCGAAAGAGCGGTTTTAACTATGTCCTCAATTACAATCCCCAGTCACCCAAACCCAAACGTAATAGAAACAGAAATGTGATATGGTTTAACCCTCCCTACAGCGCCAACGTTGCCACCGACATTGGTCACAAATTCCTGCAAGCTATTGATGAATGCTTCCCGCCAAACCATCCTCTGCATAAACTATTCAATAGGAACAACCTTAAGGTAAGCTACAGCTGTATGCCCAACGTGCACAATATCATCACGGCGCACAACAGAACCGTACTCGATTGCAAGCAGCCCGAGGCAACTAAAAATCCCGATAGGAAGTGCAATTGCCGCCAGGAAGAATCCTGCCCCCTCCCTGGCAAATGTTTAACCGAAAGCGTTGTGTACCAGGCCACAGTAACGAGAGAAGACAACCACCAGAAAGACACACAGCGGGCCCATTTAAGGTGAGATATTATAACCATACAAGCTCGTTCAGGAACCCGGAACATAAACATTCAACCGAACTGAATAAATATATTTGGCAGTTGAAACAATCCAATATACAATACTCTATCCACTGGAAAATTTTAAAGAAATGTAAGGCCTACTCAAACAAAACAAAACGTTGCAAATTATGCCTGCACGAAAAGTTTATTATAATTTACTATCCCAAATTAAGCTCTCTGAACTCAAGAAACGAACTAATATCCGCATGTAGGCACAGGAAAAAATTCCTGCTTTGCAGCCAATAGCTCAGGTTACAGACATAGGTTTACGCTTTCCTGATGACGTCAAACATTTTTATATAATAGCTCAAGTTACCTATAGGTTATAACATCATGTAAATACGCGATATCATCATTCACCTGATGAGTGTGGCAAGCTTAGTTTGCCATACGAAACAAATTTGTCGTGAATAAATGTTTTAAACGAAGTAACTCAAGTTTGTCTTTTATATATATATATATATATATATATATATATATATATATATATATATATATATATATATATATATATATATATATATATATATATATATATATATATATATATATATATATATATATATATATATAGTTTGCCTTTTAAAGGCAAATAAAGTTCTTAATTGAAGATCAGAAATATTTGTGAAGTGCGGCCACGCAAAGAAATTCCACGCGAGAAAATTTGAGAGCGTGCGCGACAAACGAACGCGCGCGATAAACGAACACACGCGTCAGCAAACCGTTAGTTAGTAGCGTCAACAAACACATGACGACCCGCACGTTTTGAAAAACAGCGGGATCTGCAAACTGAGTTTGCAACTTCAGGAAGCGAGCAACGCTAATCGCATTATTAATTACCGCTATAAGATGTCATCAATCCAGGTTCAGTTGCTTAGACGCAGTGTGAAACCAAGCAAGTAATAAGTTAATTTTCTGTTATGCATTAAAATAAAAGTGTACAAATATGTCAGGATGATATTTACGATGCTGACTGTTGACAAGTCACCTATGGTCAGGCTATACTATAGCGTATAATGTGAAATAAGGCTGCGTGTAATAATACTCGAGCATGCGGAAAAACAAAACGTCCTTGATATCTTAGAGATCGAATAGCGTGAATAATATTCAACCTAGATTTTGTTTACGTTCAAAGTATGGCATGATAATTCCATATCGAAACGTCGAAACCTATTTGCCGTCTTTATAGATCTTGGCAGTATAAAAAGTGCGGCGGCTTCAATGGCTTATACACTTATACCGCCTTTCCCAAGGCCCTATAGTGCGCAAATGAATCTGGAACAAACGTTTTTACCGTTTTCACCAAGATATATATCTACATATTATTCCAAAAACAATAGCTGCATTGACACCATTGTCTTAGCTATTTTACGGAATTTACGCCTGCGTTTGCGTTGTCGGGTAATAAATAATATAAGACTCCTTTTAAGCTTCCACCGGTTAAGAAAAAATGGGACATCTCCATAACCTATCAGCAAAAGATGGGACATCTTTCTGACACAAAAGTTTTCACTAAAAGTATTCTAGATATTATTCAAAAAACTATAGCACTAGCTGCACCGCCTTACCCTAACTTAGCGTGATGTAAAGAATAATATAAGACTCCTTTTAAGCTTCCACTGGTTAAGAAAAGATGGGACATCTTCATAACCTGTCAGCAAAAGATGGGACATCTTTCTGACACAAGAGTTTTCACTAAAAGTATTCTAGATATTATTCCAAAAACTATAGCACTAGCTGCACCGCCTTATCCTAACTTAGCGTGATGTAAAGAATAATATAAGACTCCTTTTAAGCTTCCACTGGTTAAGAAAAGATGGGACATCTTCATAACCTGTCAGCAAAAGATGGGACATCTTTCTGACACAAGAGTTTTCACTAAAAGTATTCTAGATATTATTCCAAAAACTATAGCACTAGCTGCACCGCCTTATACCCTAACTTAGCGTGATGTAATGAATAATATAAGACTCCTTTTAAGCTTCCACTGGTTAAGAAAAGATGGGGCATCTTCATAACCTGTCAGCAAAAGATGAGACATCTTTCTGACACAAGAGTTTTCACTAAAAGTATTCTAGATATTATGCAAAAAGCTATAGCGCTAGCTGCACCGCCTTACTCTAACTTAGCACATTGTAAAGAATAATATAAGACTCCTTTTAAGCTTCCACTGGTTAAGAAAAGATGGGGCATCTTCATAACCTGTCAGCAAAAGATGGGACATCTTTCTGACACAAGAGTTTTCACTAAAAGTATTCTATAGATATTATTCAAAAAGCTATAGCACTAGCTGCACCGCCTTACCCTAACTTAGCGTGATGTAAAGAATAATATAAGACTCCTTTTAAGCTTCCACTGGTTAAGAAAAGATGGGACATCTTCATAACCTGTCAGCAAAAGATGGGACATCTTTCTGACACAAGAGTTTTCACTAAAAGTATTCTAGATATTATTCCAAAAACTATAGCACTAGCTGCACCGCCTTATCCTAACTTAGCGTGATGTAAAGAATAACATAAGACTCCTTTTAAGCTTCCACTGGTTAAGAAAAGATGGGACATCTTCATAACCTGTCAGCAAAAGATGGGACATCTTTCTGACACAAGAGTTTTCACTAAAAGTATTCTAGATATTATTCCAAAAACTATAGCACTAGCTGCACCGCCTTATACCCTAACTTAGCGTGATGTAATGAATAATATAAGACTCCTTTTAAGCTTCCACTGGTTAAGAAAAGATGGGGCATCTTCATAACCTGTCAGCAAAAGATGAGACATCTTTCTGACACAAGAGTTTTCACTAAAAGTATTCTAGATATTATGCAAAAAGCTATAGCGCTAGCTGCACCGCCTTACTCTAACTTAGCACATTGTAAAGAATAATATAAGACTCCTTTTAAGCTTCCACTGGTTAAGAAAAGATGGGGCATCTTCATAACCTGTCAGCAAAAGATGGGACATCTTTCTGACACAAGAGTTTTCACTAAAAGTATTCTATAGATATTATTCAAAAAGCTATAGCACTAGCTGCACCACCTTACCCTAACTTAGCGTGATGTAAAGAATAATATAAGACTCCTTTTAAGCTTCCACTGGTTAAGAAAAGATGGGACATCTTCATAACCTGTCAGCAAAAGATGGGACATCTTTCTGACACAAGAGTTTTCACTAAAAGTATTCTAGATATTATTCCAAAA